TAGTAGTCTAGTGAGAGGTTTAGAAAGTTTAGCAAAATTGGGAATAAAACGACGATAGTAACCGGCTAGACCTAGGAAAGATTTTATTTCTTTTGGTGTTTTCGGTTCAGGAAATCGTTGGATACAATCGACTTTTGAAGGGTTAGGCTTGACGCCATCTTGGGTAATGAGATGTCCGAGATACGCTACCTCTTTCCTGAGAAATTCACATTTATCAGGCTGGATTTTAAGATTTGCCTTTCGAAGACGTTTGAAGACTTCAGTAAGACGGGAAATGTGTTCGTGAATGGTAGGGGAGTATACTATAATATCGTCCATATAGACAAGACATCGTTCGTTCAAAATACCTAAAAGAATATTGTCCATGACACGCTGGAATGTGGACGGTGCATTTTTAAGTCCAAAAGGCATACGAGTAAATTCATAATGTCCGTTTTCGACAGAGAAGGCTGTTTTAGGAATATCTTTGGGATCGATTTCAATCTGATGAAATCCGGAGGCAAGATCGAGAGTTGTGAAATATTGGCATTTTCCAAGCTGGTCTAAGAGATCGGAGATATTAGGAAGAGGGTATTTATCGTCAATGGTACATTCATTGAGCTTGCGGTAGTCTATTACTACTCGCCATTTTTGTTCTCCAGAAGAGTCTATTTTTTTGGGAACAACCCAAACAGGAGATGACCAAGGAGAAGTAGAAGGCCGGATGATACCTTCGTTGATCATCTTATTTACTTGAGATTTAACTTCCTCTTTGTGGACCTGAGGATATCTGTATGATTTCGTAAAAATGGGTTTGGTGTTATTAGTTTCAATTTGATGTTTAATCTCACTGGTGAAAGTAAGATTGTCTCCTTCTAAGTAAAATATGTCTTCGTAATTTAAGCAAAGATTTGTTATGAGTTCTTGTTCTTCCTCGTTAAGATGTTCTGTTCGAAGTCGAGATTTGATTTTGTTTGTACGGTCAATTTTATCAGGACAATAATTTTCCAAGTTATCGTTCAACTGGAAATTTAGGATAGGTGAGTTTAAATAGGGTTCAATTACTATATCGGAAAAGTCGATAATTTTAGGAATTGCATTTGCGTTTACTATGGATGTCAGAAATTCGCTTTTTTCATTTACATGTACTAACGCGTTGGGGATATGGACTTTTTCTTTTTCTTTTCTGTGCAAAATTGCATCTGTATTCGACAGATGACATTTTAACTTGAATATTTGTTCGGATCTGGGATCTATTTTAATTTGATTAGGGGTTTCATTGTTACGCGAATTAGTTTCTACTTTGTGGAGAGGTAATGTTTTAAAGTTTGTGATTAGTTGTTTGTTTTTGAGGTCTATCGTACATTCGTAATGTTCTAAGAAATCGAGGCCTAAGATTCCATCGAAATCAATATCTAAATTATAAATGAAGACCTTATGGGGATTTCCCACTTGAAACGGGACTAGAGTTGATTCAGTGACAAGAATTTTTTGGTCTGTAATACCTTGTATAGTAATTTGTTCGGGAAAACGTTGTTTGAAACTTTTCACGGTATTTTCTTTGAAGATAGAGATACCAGCACCGGTATCGATAAGTAATTTAAACGTATTTGATGCGTCTTTTATATAGTACAGGTTTTTAGAGTTTACAGCAAGAAGAGGGCTTAAAGAAAAGTCTGTTCTGGAAAGTTCAGAGATGGGTTCATGTCGTCCAAATTCAGAGTTTGTATCTGATTTTGTATTTGAGACAAAGATTCGTTCATTGAACTGGTATTGTCTGGTGGGTGGTTGTGATTCGCGACTGTGAGAAAATCCTGATAGTCTTGGCTATCAATTAAATCGGTTGATTGATCAAATGACTGGTAATAATCGGGAGGTGGATAATTATTATCAGAGAAATCTTCGTATTGGTAGCTTTCATTTAAAGCTGAAGTATAGTCGTTAATATAGTCAGGCTCATAGTTAACGAAATGAGCTCTGTGCCTATCGTTCGAAAAATTGGGATTCTTATTTATTACAGAAGGGCGTATTTGTGAATTATTTTGATTTGGTGTAAATTGAGGTCTTTGTTGGTCATTGGGTCTATTGTTTTGGAAATTATTATTTGAACTGAAAGTTGGTCTTTGAAAGCCATTGTTTTGAGCATTATTGAAGTTTTGATGGTTATTAAAATTTCGAGAATTGTTAAAATTATGAGAGTTGTTGGAATTCTGCGAATTATTTTGGGAATTTTGTCGAGAACGACATTCATTGTACGAGTGGCCCATACGTCCACAAAATGTGCATCTATGTGGTTGAAGGTTTGGTCTTCTAATGGGTTGATTATTTTGATTGGGTTTTGGAGGATTGGATCTATTGATTTTTTGTATTTCGAAATAGAATAATTGTAACTCTCGTCTGATGCGGACTTGAGCTTCAAGAAGGTCTTTTGGATTACTAGCACGAATAATATGAGCGATTTTTGGATCGAGGCCGGTCAATAATGTATTGAGCGCCATTGATTCAATTAATACAATTTGGGCCTGTTTTTCTACAGCAGAGAGGCTAGATTTCTGTATATTGGCGTGCATTTTTGCATTAAGGACTTGGACACGATTAAGGAATGTAAGAGCCGATTCATTTGGAAGTTGTTTGACTCTTTGTAAATCTTGTATCAAAGAAGATAAGTCTCTAGTGTCTCCAAAATGAGAGGTAAGAAGCTGTTTAATTTCTAGATACGATAATGGATTTCTTGAACTTATAAGTTGCGCTGCTCTTCCGCGTAATTTATTTTTAATGTGAATTACTAATAGTTGTTTTTGATCGCGCGTAGACATATTGTAGGCATAATCACAAGCATTTAAAAATGTGTGTAAAAATATTTGATCGCCTTCAAATTCGGGTACGATAGAAAATATTTCGGATAATTTGTAAGGTTCTATTTCAGGCTGGTTCTCATTACGAGAAGCGGGACGAGAAACGTTGCCGTTATCATTCATGGTGGTTAATAAATCAATAAAAGAAATAAAAATAAAAATATAAGATAATGGATTAATTAAAAATAATTAATCAAATATAAATATCAAATAATAAAACAAAATGTAAATATCAAAATAATAAATCGAAAATGTAAATACTAGAATAATAAGTCAAAATATAGGAAAAGTATTTTTCTAAGACAGTGTCTGATTAGCAGAATAATCGACACAGGTAATCGTTTAATAAAATGAAAATAAAAAAGTTGACGATTTACAGAATAATCGCCAAAAGTTTATAATTATTAAAGTAATATTCAAAAATATTCGAATTCGGCATAAAATTATTAATTAAATGAATATTTTATATTGGAATATCGAACAGTATATGGTAATAAATGGTATTAAACAAAAATTATATACGAGATGATTCAGTATTAGACTTACATTAGTTCCAAAAACATCTAGTCGTCTTGTTCTCGACAGCTAATCTACCAGGGGCTTCACTTGGTGTTCCTTCCGTAGATGTCTGCAAAGTTAGGGCGGCACTGCTTTTTGGAGTTTTCTGGTTCTTTTTCTGATTAAAGGATTGGAATCCACCGTTGTCAGTTAGGTTCTCCTTGTTCTGCCAACGTTTCCAGATCCTACTGCGACTGCGCCACTTTTTATATCACGAAACACTTTTTTGACTTTTTAAAAAAAATTTATTTATTACAAAATACAAGTTACGTGGTAAAAATGAATGAAATATAAAATATAATGAATGAACTACAAAAATATACTGAATACTGAATTAAGAGCGACAAGCGGTTTTATAATATTACTAAATGCTGACTCAGTGGGAACGTGTAAAAAGCTTGGGTCCCGCTGACTCTGCTGGTACTGCATTTGCAAGGATCCTTATCGGCTCAGGTTGTTGGAAATGAAACCTGATACCCTGGGAATCGTCGTGATAAGGAACATCGGTTGGTACAATGCATATAACATATATATATATATATATATAGAAGTAAAAATTAAATATTGGGTTTGCAGAAATAAAAAATGAAATGTGTACTCTTCTAAATTTTTATTCCAAGCTTTCGGACATTGGTTATGTCCTTCATCAGAGAGCTACAAATGTGATGAATAATTTGTTAAAGTTTGTATAATTAATTAAAAATTCGCTACTTACAAACTTAATGAGGTTGTATCTTCAATGATTTTATATAATGTTGATAAAATTTCTCACAGTCTGTCATATTTTTTACATAAAAACTATTCCTATATTAAAATTTTTAAAAATTGCTTTACAATCACAAACACTTAATTATTATACACACATTCATGACATTTTTATTCTTAATTTTATTGTATCGTCATTAGTCTTATCACGACAATACAGTGGTTTTTATTATTGGCTTTTCGGAACTCTTCGTGCGTAAATTTAAAAATATTCGTTATGACAAGTGAAAATCCCATATCCCTAATATCAAGCAACTGCTAGTACAACAAATTATAGGCCTATTGTGTATTGTGACCATATAAATTATTTTACATTAATATAAGGTTGAATGTTCGAATAAATGAACTTTGATGGTACACAAGGCAAATATCGAACACAGTATTTAATCAAATCTTGCCCAAGTACTTTCGATCACAAGATCATCTTCAGGGGCATTTCGTCAGTTGTGGCCTATCCAGCAGTAACAGAATGTCATAAATGTAAATTGGGACATAACAAATACACTAAACAAAGACAAACACTTTAAAATTTAAAATTGGAGAAGCTGCATTTTATATAGAAGCAGGAGACAGATCATTCTGTCTCCTGCTTCTATATAAAAGACTACAAAAAACACGTTTTTGAAAATATTTTCCTCATTATTAAAATCACCGGTTAAATATGAGTTAAATAGGTAAAATCTCCATAATACGATTCAAATGACATCAAAAAGTAAAAAAAATAAAAGATTGTATTAATACTACTGTAGAATAGTGTCATTGTACATTTATACACTCTTAGACATATAACTGCTTATTTAAAAAACTTATCACAAAAAATAAACGATTTTTAACAGTACTTACCTATCAGTCCCACTTCCGTGGCTCTATCAAAGTAGTAACTAAATGCAAAAATAGTTTTTAGGGGTAATTCATGCGGGGGACTAGCTTTGCTCTTTACATAGTCTGTAATTAGCTTTGAACAATCCTGAAAACTAACAATAGGAACTGTTTCACCGATTTGAGTATTGGTACCCCTGACTTTTGAAGTAGGATAGTTTTCTTGTAGACCGGAAACGGAATATTCTTTACCTGAAAGACAAACAGTTATAGTGTGTAGTTAATGTATAGATATTCGATCACAAATCAGATATGAAATATCCAGTAAATCATCGGAGTGCCACGTGTTAATACTTTTTACTGTATTAAAGTTGCAATAGCCAAGTCAAAAATATTTTGTTTTTTTATAAATACCCTCTCTATATTCATGCCTTCTTTTATTTTATTTTATATACATTTTCAGCTTGTAGCTGAAGAAGAAGAAGAAGATTGTAGCTAGATTCTCTAGCACATTTCCATGTATCAAACGATATCTGTTACAATAACCCAACAGGCACAAATTATAATTAAACTAAGTTACACTAGATAAAGATAGTGAAGAGATGTGATTTATGAGTGCGCAATGTCAAAATTCGAAAAAGTGGGAACAGCTTGGCGTTTACTTTTGTACAGTGTTGTAACGTTGTGTTATAAATTTGGAAAATGTACAAAAACAACAAGTTCTAGATCATCAAGCTCATGAAGTAATTTATAACGTTTTAAAATTTACAAAAAATGAACCAAAAAATGAAAAATTGTTAATATATTTAAGGTGGTATGTCACAATGTTAAAATTTATATACTTTTTAGGTACAGTTATCGTCACTATTTCAAAACAGATCTTCAAGTTATGATTATGTACGTAAACTGTAAACTTTCTATTTTAATGATATCTAGTTAACATTTTCAAAAACAGCAGTATTTTTTTCATAACTGTACTTAAATGCATCCATGTCATAACTTACGTGGTAACGTGCCTAAAAATTGGTATTGTGAAATAATTATTGAACTTAGGTGCAAAATAACTACGTTAAATGATTAACTATCCAAAAACCTTTATTTTAAGCAAATGTTTGTTATCCATACTGCCGTAATTTTTAAATTAACTGTACCTAAAGATAAAATTACAATTAAAAGCTGCAAACTAGGGATTTTGTTGATGTTACCGTAATAAGTTGGCATTTTTATAGCGAGAAATTAGTTCAGCTATCACTTAACAGATGAGAAAATAAGTTCACGTGTCATTTAGTAGAAGGCAGCACTGATGTATTAAATAGCGATAGATGCGCGTTTGCCGAATTTAAGAAAAATCTGCAAAACATTGAAAACTAGTTTTGTGGTTATTCCAATTGTCTATGAGTTATGCAGTAACCATAGTAACGAATCACGTGGTTTTGTTAGCAAGGCGGCCCCTCCCAGAGTTAATATTGTGGGTTCGTTTGACTTTCTTTCTCTTTCTATGTTCAATAATGATTGTATGTGATAAGGATAAGGGAACAATGTCTTAAATATACAAGTATACCATTTTTTTCCTTGGCACCCTGACGTTATATAATCGTGGTTGAAAGTCAAACTATGGTCAGTAAAGTTTACTGCGGGATTATACTGGTTTTTACATAATATATAAACATAAAAACAATTCGTTTTATTAAATTTTTAACAAATTTAATTTTTATAGACAAAACAATAGTATGTAATGATCGATTAAATTTTGTCGATTAATTATTTCCGGAAGAAAATAAGATTATTGATATTTACTTTAATATTTACTTGAGTCATAATTAGAAACGAGATGAAAATCTGAAATTTTCTGAGGAAAACACTTCCCCTGTTGACATTATAATAATTATTATAAATATATTATTAATAATTAATGTTATATATTTTAGATTTCTTATAAATACTGTTTTTATACATAAATAGTCGATCCAATTACCATAATCCCTTTTTGATCATTATTTAATTACCTGTTTTTCAAACAATTGCAAATTTCTTTTCAGTTTGAAATAAATATTTTTGGGTAGATAAATAATTCAGACTTGTCGCCTGAAATATGAGTAATAAAATACCTCCAAATGAATAAACCTTTTGTGTATACAAGGTCAAGTAACAAAAATCCCTAATCAGCACATCCAGCTGATTGCTGTTGTAAGTGTAAGGCAATTAAAATTTATGACGTCTGGGAATGTAGTATCATCATTATTTAGAATTGCATAGTATGCTTAGATACAGTTTAGTTTGTCGAATTTGGGAAACTGTATTAAAATAAAATCACACTTGTGTAATTTGATACAAAATTAAGCTTTTTGTGCAGTAGACTTGCGATTATCTGAGGTAATTGGGACCGTGACTACCTCAGATACCGAAAGAACTCTGTCACTGAGATTGGTTATACTGATAGAAAAATGTGTACCTATGTTAATAATGATTAATGTGTTTATTTTAATAACTAAAAACTGATATAAAAGTAGTATAAAAGATAAAAAAATTAATTTATAAATGTTTTAAAAAGTCTTTGATTGATTTTTGTTTCAACTTCATTCCTCTTTTTGGGGCAGCGATGTTGCGCCAACGTTGAAAATGAAGGACGTCTAATGGTGTTGATTCTTCTTATTGCTCAATGTATACGAGAGCTGCTTCAAGGGACTTAAATCCTTCGGAATGAGAAATCTTTTGAGTTATCCCATCTGTATCTTCTTCTTCTTCTTCATGGGTGACGTTTAGACCTAGATTGGCAATTGTATCATCTGTCAGTTTCACTTCTTCATCTAGATTCCTCCAATCGATGATGTCTTGTTTTACGATTGTTTGTTCTACTGGTAATTGATTGGCTATGTGGGCTATAGAATCAACTTTACAGTCATCAGTTTCATTTTGAACGTCTTGTGTTTTGTTGTCTATCTTAAATAATTTTTTCCACAACTTCTGAGTAGTGGACATTTTTACGTCGTCCCAGGCAGATGCAATCCAATAGCAAACATCTTTAACCGTGATCTTCTTCAATGCCTCAATTACAGTCAGCCCTTCATCCAGTTTATAGTTAGCAGTGGCTGAAGATATGCAGAGTACCTTGAGATATGCAGACGATATAGTCCTGATAATAGATAAGAAGGAAGAGGTACAGAAGATGGTTGAGAAACTAGATAGAAAAGCGACAGAGATAGGTCTAGAGATGAACTATAGTAAAACCAAGATTATGACAAACCAAGAAGACCAATTAGAAATAGTAGTCAAACAGAATAAATTAGAGCAGGTGGCAGAATACATATACCTAGAACAGATAATAAAGTTGAACAGGGACAATCAAGCAGAAGAAATAAAAAGAAAAACTAGACTAGCATGGGCCTCATTTGGTAAACTATCATATATTCTAAAAAATAAAAAGTTCCCTAAATATATGCGAACGAAAGTATTCAACCAGTTCATTTTACCAGTTATCACATATGGCTCACAAACATGGACTTTCACAAAGGAGAACATCGACAGGATATCCAAAACACAAAGAGCAATGGAAAGACATATGCTGGGTATCGGTCTTAAAGACAGGAAAAAAAAATCATGGATCAGAGAAAAAACAAAGGTGAACGATGTATCAAGACAGGTTGCAAAACTTAAATGGAACTTCGCCGGTCACACTCTCCGGCAAAAAGATGAAAGATGGAATAAGCGAATTCTACACTGGAAACCATGGGAAAAGAAAAGAAAAAGAGGAAGACCACAGATGAGATGGACTCACGATCTTAAGAGAAAGGCAGGAAAGGACTGGATGTAGATCGCCCAAAATAGAGACCAATGGAGATTAACAGGGGAGGCCTATGCCCAAGAGTGGGCGTCTAAGGCTGATTAGATAGATAGATAGATAGATAGTACCTGAAGAAGCTTCCGCCGATAATTCCTCTTCATTCCTTATATAACGTTTTGGTCTAGGGTTGGATGAGAGATGTTACATGGGGTGGAAGGAACACAGCTTGTATGTCACCACTAATCAATTCCCTCACATATGGGTGGGATCGTGCGTTGTCCAACAACAACAAAGCTTTTTGGACCAATCCACTACCACCACTCACACTTCGGTTTTCCCACTGTTCGATTTCATTCGGCTTACGCTTCCAATATCCAACAGTTACTTCTCCGACATCTAAATCTAAAGAAACCTTCTTTATTGATTCACCCTTGTCCAACCTCTTAATTGTATTCACTTTTGTTTCCAAATTTGACGATCTGAACGACAGCAAACAAATCGGTAGTTTCATTCACATTGATTAACATAGAAAGTAACAGGAAGTTGTAGACAAAACACCACACAGAAATTTCTGCACATGAAATCTCTTTCACATCAGCTTGACCTAAAGCATACCTTACAAATAATTCTCTTCTTATCAATAATCCAAAATTTTCAATTGATTGCCCATATAACAGCTGCCGATATAACTTCTGACCATCGACCCCTTTTTTTATTACTCGATATTGTGATTCAACAAGTACGACTATAAAGGTAAATAAAGGTAAAACCAAAGCAAAATTTTGCCTCGATTAACCTACGGTACCTAAAAGTATAGTCGAAGAAGCTTCCGAAGAAGCCCAAATTTAAATTACCTCCAATCGAGTTCAAAAATTATTCAGAGATTGCAGTCTAGGTTTGGTATAGAGGATCTCCAAATTGAAGTTTACATTAGAGAGCTCTCAAAGTTAATTTTAAGTCGAGTTTCTTAGTATTATATATATATATATATATATATATATATATATATATATATATATATAATATATAATATATAATATATTTGTAATATTTCTGCTCTTTATGATATGATTGATAGTCAACTTCGTTCACTTGAGACCTTAGACAAAACTGCTGACAAGTTAGCGGCGATATAGTATCCTCTTATTAAGTCATGTCTGCCAGAAAATGTAATAAATAATGTTGTGGTGGTAAATAATATGTTGTTGTACTTAGTTAACCATTTATTTAACACTACTGTACACTCTTTAATGTTACTTCATCTAAATATTTCAGTACTTAATTGACGCTGATTATATGCGGCATTAACTTGCCATTTTGACGGTACATTAATTAAGATCTCTGAGAGAATGATTGTTGGGACTTTTATAGAAGTCCTTGCTATATCAGCAAAGGTTTACTTATTAGTATGTCAAGTGTGTTCATGACCTACGCCAAGCATGTGGTGATCGGCAATAGCGCTGATTTAACA